TATGCTCCAATACTTCTGTTAGTCTTAAAGGTGCCACAGGACCCTCTGTTGCTTTTTACAGATTCAGACTAACACGGCTACCCCTCTGATAGGTTAATTAGGCACATGATATGCAGCTACCCAGTTTACATAGACTCATAGAACTAGAAGGGACCTCGAGAGGTCATCTGATCCAGTCCCCTGCCTCATGGCAGGACTAAGTATTATCTAGGCCATCCCTGAGAGCTGTTTGTCCAACCTGCTCTTAAAAATCTCCAATGATGGAGATTCCACAGCCTCCTTTGGCAATTTATTCCAGTGCTCAACCACCCTGTCAGGAAGTTTTTCCTAATGTCCAACCTAAACCTCCCTTACTGCAACTTAAGCCCATTGTTTTTCTTAACCTCTGAGGATAGGACAAGAAGCAATTTTTCTTCCTCCTCCTTGTAACAAACTTTTACATACTTGAAAACTGTTATCATGTTCCCTCTCAGTCTTCTCTTTTCCAGACTAAACAAACCCAATTTTTTCAATCTTCCCTCCATAGGTCATGTTTTCCAGACCTTTAATCATTTTTGTTGCTCTTCTCGGGACTCTCTCCAATTTGTCCATATCCTTCCTGAAATGTGGTGCCCAGAACTGGTCACAATACTTCAGTTGAGGCCTAATCAGCATGGAGTAGAGTGGAAGAATTACTTCCCGCGTCTTGCTTACAACACTCCTGCTAATACATCCCAGAAGGGGATTTGCTTTTTTTGCAACAGCGTTACACTGTTGACTATTATTTAGCTTGTGATCCACTATGACCCCCAGATCCTTTTCCGCAGTACTCCTTCCTAGGCAGTCATTTCCCGTTTTGTATGTGCGCAACTGATTGTTCCTTCCTAAGTGGAGTAGTTTGCATTTGTCCTTATTGAATTTCATCCTATTTACTTCAGACCATTTCTCCAGTTTGTCCAGATCATTTTGAATTTTAATCCTGTCCTCCAAAGCACTTGCAACCCCTCCCAGGTTGGTATCGTCCACAAACTTTGTAAGTGTACTCTGTATGCCATTATCTAAATCACTGATGAAGATATTGAACAGAAATGGACCCAGAACCGATCCCTGCGGGACCCCACTCGTTATGTCCTTCCAGCATGACTGTGAACCACTGATAACTCTCTGGGAATGGTTTTCCAACCAGTTTTGTACCCACCTTATAGTAGCTCCATCTAGGTTGAATTTTCCTAGTTGTTTATGAGAAGGTCACGCGAGACAGTATTAAAAGCTTTACTAAAGTCAAAATATACCACGTCTACTGCTTCCCCCCATCGTCAAGGCTTGTTACCCTATCAAAGAAAGCTATCAGGTTGGTTTGACACAATTTGTTTTTGACAAATCCATGCTGACTGTTACTTATCACCTTATTATCTTCTAGATGTATGCAAATTGATTGCTTAATTATTTGCTCCATTATCTTTCCAGGTACAGAAGTTAAACTGACTGGTTTTTAATTCCTTGGGTTGTCCTTATTTCCCTTTTTATAGACGGGCACTATATTTGCCCTTTTCCAGTCTTCTGGAATCTCTCTTGTCTTCCATGACTTTTCAAAGATAATCGCTAATGGCTCAGATATCTCCTCAGTCAGCTCCTTGAGTCAGCTCCTTTTATCAGGCCCTGGTGACTTAAAGATATCTAATTTGTCCAAGTAATTTTTAACTTGTTCTTTCCCTGTTTTAGCCTCTTCTGATCCTACCTCATTTTCACTGGCATTCACTATGTTAGACATCCAATCACCACCAACCTTCTTGGTGAAAACCAAAACAAAGAAGTCATTAAGAACCTCTTTGATTTCCACATTTTCTGTTATTATTTCTCTCCCCTCCGTTGAGTAACGGGCCTATCCTGTCCTTGGTGTTCCTCTTGCTTCTAATGTATTTGTAGAATCTTTTCTTGTTACCCTTTATATCTCTAGCCAGTTTACATATACAGCTGCAGTAATTACATGCTCAAATTAGGCACATAATTGTGTGCGCAACTTGTTTGAAAATCTGATATTTTTTATTAGTCGACTTAGATGTATTGCAGTGTCAGATTTTATTAGTTATCACTTTAATGATTTTAAAAAAATCTTTCTGACAGTTAAACACTCTTATTTCCATGAAAGTGACGCACAAAAATCATGCTGTCCTGGATTCCAGAGAAGATGAAAGTTAAAATTTTAAAAAGTAAAAGCTTTTTTATATGTGAATTGATATATGAAATTGTAATCTGTAAAACTCAAACACTGTTGCAGGTGAAATTACTTACGGAGGGCGAGTTACAGACACCTGGGATCAGAGATGCCTGCGTACAGTCTTAAAGAGGTTTTTTGCTCCTGAAACATTAGAATATGATTACAAATATTCCGAGTCAGGTAAATACAATTAGAATTATAGAGGATTTCCATTTAGGTTAATGCAAACTATGTTTGTCCCATTTTTTTATGATTTTGTGTGTTTAATTCTGTATTTGTGTTTTAGAAAAATTCTGGTCTTTCTGTGATGAATCTTGCATCAGTCAATGGGGTCTGGTTCACTCTGTGTGTCTAAGAACTGGATAACAAGCTTAGTTAATGTCTTCCTAGTTTTTTATTGAGAAAAATGTCTCTTGCCCCACAGAGGACATTATTGGTAGTGTATCTCCTTCCATTCCCACAGACAGAAGTCTCTGACTCAGAAGTGCAGTTTCCAAAAAGAAGCTTTTGGCCCAAATTTTGCAGTATTTGCGAAGAACCTTGAGCTCTGTTGTGGACTTTCTAAGATTTTCAGGGACTCCGTAGAATGTGGTTCTTCTCTGAAAAGTCACTATGTAAAATATTACCTTCTTACTCTGAGCCTTGCACCTGATTCTCTTCTCATACTATTTTTACACTAGAGTAGTCCCTGACTTCCATGGAGTTACTCATGATTTACTCCAGCGTAAATGAAAGGAAAATTAGTCCCACAATATGTATAAAGAGTTATATCTGCCGAATTTAGTGACAAAACTATTTTTGCTTGTGTTTTATACTTCCGTTAGCACTGCTGAGCCAACACAATTAATGGTAATAATTGTCCGTGCTTCTAACTTCTAGATCTTAGAACACATTGCAAAGATGAATAAACATTATCTCCATTTTACAGATGGGGAAACCAAAGCACAGAGAGGTCAAGGGTGAGATTTTCAAAAGTGCTCAGTCCACTCAGTTCCCATGGTTTTCAAAAGGGCTCATCTTAATCTAAACACTTAATCTAAAACTAATCTGGCACCCCAAAAGGGAACTCATAAGTGGCTCATGGTCACATAGTGAGCCAATGGCAGCATTGGAAATAGTACCCAAGTCTACTGACTTTCCTGTCTAGTGCATATTTAGTGGATGATGCTACCTCCCGTAAGAAAGAGAGAACTGGATTGTATCTAATCCTTCTTGCACATCAACAGACTTGTTTGCTAAAATCCAATAAATTACAGTTGAGCAAACCCATTGAAGACAATAGGGTTTCCCAGGTGTCATCAAGGGCATAATCTAAAGAAAAAGTGTTCGTGCGTGTGTAATTGAGGGCAGAATTTGGCCTGCAGAACCTTTATCCTAGGTAATGGTGCATGAGAATCTATCTTAACTTGCATATTCCAGGGTGAATGGCAGGAATGGCAGATTAGGAAAAAAAAACATTTTTTTACTTGTGAACTGAGCATATCTGATCTGGAAATGCCAGAGAGATGACAAGCCTAGAACCCCACTGCTATTTTTACAGAGCCACTTCTCTGATTAGAGCTGTACTTTAAAGTCCTTACCAGAACTGGCCCAGGGCTAAAAGTTTAGCACAACCAGGAAGATTCCAGTATTGCTGCAGGGTTTATAACTCCCAATGAGTCCTTGTATCCCGCTGAGGGTGCTAAATCTTTTTACTCTGGCCATCTTCAGGGAGAAGGGAAGCTCTCTTGCTTCCCATTAAATATTGAAAACCTGCGTAGCACCATGCTCAACAGGTGTTTGAGGTGGATCCCACTGCTACAAACACTGCACATTGTCAGCATTCTCAGCCTGAAATGTGGCCAGAGCGTCAAACGAAGAGTTGACCAGAGGGATATTTCTCACTAATTTGGGAGCATTTTATACCCCCTTTGCGCTGTTGCAAATGACTACACGAGGCCCAGTGCAATGGAACATCAAGCCCATGGAGTTTGAATCTCTCCTTCTTGAGCTGGGCTACTCCTAAGATTCCTTTTTTCAGGACTGCTCCGCTCACCCTCTCCCCAGAAAGGCTTTTCTACCTCCCTTGTTATCAGTGTGAGGCAGTGAACCACCTGTCTCAGTGACTCACCAGAACCCACATCACCATTTCTCTGCAGGAACAACTGGGAGCAGTTTTTCAGACGTGCTGCCACCCATTACAAATCGATCTATTTTTGGTACTTGTATGTCACCCATCATTGTAGCCTCTGAGTGCCTGGCAATCATTAATGTACCTATCTTCCCAGAATCCCTGGGAGGTAGGGCAATGCTATGATTCCCATTGTACAGATAGGGAACAGAGGTACCCAGAGGGTAAGTGACTTGCCCAAGGTCACATAGCAACTCTGTGGTGGAGCAAGGACTTGGACCCAAATCTCCAAAGTCTAAGGCTAGTGCCCTGACCACTGGACCCTCCTTCTGCTCTATCCTACATACGCAACTTCAATGCCTTTAATGTCATTTATTCATGTCCCTTTATATGTATTTCCCTGGAAGAACAGGGGGAGCGGAGGAGAGAATTTAATTTCAGTTTGCTGAATATCCATCACAGGCCAGTGACAGATTGCACTTACTTCAGTCCAGCACTTATCATCTCAGCCACACCAGTCTTTCCTTCTTCCAGGCCTGGTAGTTATGCTGTTAACAGATGGCAATTAATTATGAGTCGTTAACCCTAGTTGTGTAAGTTGCTGAGTAGCTAGAAGCCTCCAAAGAGGAAAAGAACTGTAATGACCCACCAGAGAGTTGGAAGGCCAGTCAGGAACTAACCTGGGGCTCACTATACCTGTGTGAGTTGCCACTTGTCAGGTTTTTAGCTCAGCAGTCAAGCCTGTGAAAGCCATTTGATTCTTTTTATTTTAAATAAAGTTTGTTCTGTCTATGCGATATAACAAGCAATATCCCATATCCTGCTCAAGTTTTTACATTGTTTCCTCAGGCAACAAATATCCAGTTGTTTTTCTGTTCCAGAATATAACCCATTTGCTTCAAAAGTTCTAGTTCCTGTGAAATGCTAAGACACGCTAATGCAAAACATGAAAATGTGAGATTTTTGGCCCTACCTTTGTAAAATTCTGCTTCTAACAATTTTAGAGTGTCAGAATCTGGTATATGCCTGTCACTCATCATGAAAAATGTTACCATCCAAATGTATTTTAAAGCATATTCATATTGATGTTTTGTTGTTTATGTGGTGAATTCCTTTACTTCTTTGGATGTGCTTTCAATAATTTAAGTTTTTCCCTAATAATATACAATATATACATTTTGACATTTCCATACATTTTTGCTCATTTATTTCACAATAAAACATTTTAATATGGAGTCTGTATGTGCATTTGTGTAACAGGTATATATTTTGCCCCTATGGCTGATAGTTTGCAAGATTATAAAGACTATATTGAAAATTTTCCTTTGATCGACGACCCAGAAATATTTGGAATGCATGAGAACGCCAATTTGGCTTTCCAGGTTTGTAGGCTTTTCTTAAATACATGTTCTAAATTAATTATATTAAACAAATTATACTTTGTAGTTTAAAGGGAGAATTTGATCTAATAATTATAGTTTGTTAAGCAGAAATAACAAGCAAGAATTGCTAGGGAATCCACCTCTACTCATTAGATTTATTTTTTCCCATATGTAACTCCCAAATATGTTCTTTAACCTGTTTCCGGTCAAGCTGCGTTTTTATGAAGTGCACCATGATTTATGCTGGACAGTTGTTTATTGACATTGATTATATCCTTAGATTTACACAAATCAGCCTCTTCTTATAATTCTGGATTAGACTGATGAGAGATGTGAAGGAATACTGACAACCTGTTCAGAACACATACATTAATACTTATTAAAACATATGCATTTTCCCTGTAGGGACCCAAACAATCTTCCAGAATCCTTAAATCCACCCTCATAGTAGTCTAGGAAAAACAGCATTACACACATACAAACACTCATTAAAAATAGTTAGATAATGTGGTTGAGATTTTGAAAACAGACTAGGGGATTTAGAGACAGATCATAGAATACCTGGGTTGGAAGGGACCTCAGGAGATCATCTAGTCCAACCACCTGCTCAAAGCAGGATCAATCCCCAAACAGATTTTTGCCCCAGATCCTTAAATGGCCCCCTCAAGGATTGAACTCACAACCCTGGGTTTAGGAGGCCAATGCTCAAACCACTGAGCTATCCCTCCCCTGAGCTGGGTGGGACTCAAGTGATCTGGGTTCAGTTTCTGGCTTCACCAAAGAATTGGTGGCCTTAGGCAAGTCACTTAATCTCCGTGTTTCTTTGTTCCCTATCTGTAAAATGGAGATAGTGATACTTCCTTTCTCCCACCCTTAGAATTATCTATTTAATTTGAGAGCTCTCCAGGAGAGAGACTGTCTCTTGTGATGTGCATGTACAGCACTTAGCACAATAGGGCTTTGATCTTGATGGGGAACTCCAAGGTGCTACTATAACATAATGATCTTTCATTAATTTAGTGGAAGTTAAGTGTCTAAGTCCCCTAGACCAGCAGTTCTCAAAGCCAGTCTGCCGCTTGTTCAGGGAAAGACCCTGGTGGGCCGGGCCGGTTTGTTTATCTGCCACGTCCGCAGGTTGGGCCGATCGCGGCTCCCACTGGCCGCGGTTTGCTGCTCCAGGCCAATGGGGGCTGCGGGAAGGGCGGCCAGCACGTCCCTCAACCCGCGCCGCTTCCCGCAGCCCCCATTGGCCTGGAACGGCGAACGGCGGCCAGTGGGAGCCGCGATCGGCCGCACCTGCTGACGCGCCAGGTAAACAAAAGGGCCCGGCCTGCCAGGGGCTTTCCCTGAACAAGTGGCGGACCAGCTTTGAGAACCACTGGCCTAGACTGCTTTGAAAATCTCAACTACACACTCTCTCTTCCACACACAATACACCATTGAAAAGCAATATCTTTTGTCTGTCATAAGCACTGAATTAGAAAAACATCCACTTTTGCTTGTAGTATAATATTAATTCTAAAAACTAGACTAATGTCGCAATAAGCTTACGGCATAGCACTATAAAAGCAAAAGACTGTCATACCACCTAAAAAAACAGAAGATAAACTACACATTATTTAATAAACTTTGGTCCTAGGGGTTTGAAGCAGGGATTTTATAAATTCCAATAGTAAGATAATTAAAAACATTAAAATTTTAACTCAACTCCCTTAATTTTATAGTCTCATTCAGTATATACTGCAGTAAGTTTAATGAACTAAGTTAGAAACGTACTGAGAAAAAATGCCCATTTCACACTTCTTTCTGTAGAAAGCAGTAAAAATTGTTACTTTTAGATAGGTCAATGGGGAAAATAAAAACAAATCTTTTTTATCTAATTTTAAATGTTTATACTGAATTCAAGTAGCATCAAAGGTCTGGAATTCAGTGCAGTGGAATGGATGCATTTTATAAGAGATGGAGGTTGAGAAAAAATTATTCCCATGTTTTCCAGCTTTTTTTCATATATATATATATATATATATATATATATATATATGACTCAAAATAACATAGTGATCATGGGGACTTATTTCTTATGGTAACAATAGCTGGTCAAAAAAGCCACCTAAAAACAGAGCAAAGTCCTATTTACAGATTTCAATTACATTTTCAAGTAAATTCAAGAATGAAAATATCGTGAACAAATTATAAAATTTTCCTTGGAAGAAATTGGTTCTGAATATAAACACCTAAAAAAAAGAGAGAGAGATTAAAATATTTAAGTAATAACTTGTGATGGCAAATTTTTAAAGGTTCACTGCTTTTCTGTTTTTCTCTTTGCAGCGTAAAGAGACTAGCACTTTAATCACGACAATACTTGAGGTTCAGCCAAGATCAACTGCACAAGGATCAGGAAAAAGCAATGATGAAATTGTTCAAGAGCTTGCTAGCACTATCTTGACAAAACTATCTGGTAGGATAGTGTTGTTAATGGGTTTTTGCCAATATTACTGCATATATATATATAATGGTATTTGGGAAAATATGTTTGTTTGTTTGTTGATGAAGGACCTTTTGCATATATAGGAAAACTGTTATCACTGGAGCTGTCAGGGTTCCTTCCCCACTTCTGTGGTGGCAGGGAGCAGCGGGGGTCCTCCTGTCCCACCGTGGTGACTGGGGAGCTGCGGGGTTCCCCCTGCCCTTCCACGTCAGTGGCAGGGAGCTGCCGGGGTCCCCCTGCCCCGCGGCGGTGGGCGGGGAGCTGCCGGGGTCCCCCTGCCATTGGCAGCGGAGGTACCCTGCTGCTCCCAGCCACCAGGGCTGAAGTCACAGATTCTGTGTCTTCCGCGACCTCCGTGCCATAACCGTAGTCTTATCCATCGCTCATTCTCCCTGTGTGAGGCAAGGTGGGCATGGGGGAGGCGACTCCAGACCCAAGGCTGCTGGCAGTTTTCCGATTGAGGGATAACATTGTTTCTCTCCTCCTTCCCTCGCAGTAGAGACACCAGATCTTTCTGAGTGATAAACAAGGGCTTCTATTGCAGGAAAACTGGATATAGACACTGCTTCAGAAAGCCTTTTTGTCAAGGATGACAAAGGACGTGTGGACTCTTTAACTACTGTACTTGGACAAGAAGTGGATCGGTTCAACAATCTGCTCGACTTGTTAAGAGTATGACACTCAATTGAATCATTTTACATTGGGTGGCAGTGTTACCGGAAGCTCTATAGCTAGATTGTACCCCTGCCCTGTGCTCTGTCGGGGTGTAAGGGCTCCCCTTCGTGGTGCAGTGCATCTAACGGTTACCCACAATCACAACTCCTGCAGGGGCCCTTACTGAGATGTTCCTCCCACGGCAGGTGAGGGAGCAGGCAGAGCTGGCTGGCTGCCAGGGGACGAGTATGCTACACCCCTTAAAGGGGAGTAGTAAATTACTCCCGTCCTCCCTAGTGAAAGTGACTAGACATGGCTGTGTATAGAGTCATAGTGTTTAAGGCCAGAAGTGACCACTAGCTCATCATGGCTGACCTCCTGCATATCACAGGCCATCAACAACTGAAATGAGACCAAAGTATGTCAGCCCACAGGAGACTAGGCTGTTATGTGCCACAAGCAGCAAAGAGGAGGGACCAAGGTGTATATAACAAATAATCTAGCCCTAAATAGCTGGTTCCGTTATGGTGTGGGATCACCTGTTTAAATGTTTGCAACCATTGCATACTTGTCCACTTGGTAGTTTTGCTAGGTGGATTTCATCATTAGCATCTCGAGAAATTATTTAAACTCCTTACCTAAGAAGGGCCGCACAGATTGTTATGGGTGCAAGGGATTATGCTTACTCTTGCTGTCAAAACGTTGTAGAAGAGAGTATTCTTTAAACAGTACTAATGTTGGGTGGAAAAACGTTTGACCAGAGTACAAGGAAAATAAAAGGTTCAGGCTAGTGGTTTGTGACCGTAAATCATATGAAAATCCACAATCCGATTATGTGGGGAGGGAGGCATACAGTGCCAAAAGTCACTGTATACATTAATTTGATCAAAATATCCTTTCTTTTTGCAGTAAAACCTATCTAAAATTATTTAAACACATTCCAGCCAGTTAAAATAACCATCTCTAGTGCCTGTTGCTTCTATTCCTTGGGAGCCAGAGTCCAGGAAGGTGGGTAGAGAGAGATACTGTATCTTTTTCTGCACTGCTTTCCTGCCTCTGACAGTTCTGTAAACTCAGTGACTTTTTCCCTAATCCCAGAGAAAACACAGAATCTGAGACCCACCCACAGGGGCCTTGTGCAGGCCACTATATCCAATGAGGAGACTTCTTGTTCTCTCATTGGCCAACTCTGACTGGGATGTGAGAATGGTCACGGCTCTGCAGGAGGTGGTCATGATCAGGCACTTAGCTTCCCAGATTTTAACTTGGCAGTTCTCAGTGTTCTGTGAAATTGGTTCAAATGTTTATTAGCATGTCCACACATCTGCATTTAAAAGCCATGAATGTTATTTTAGATGAAGTTCATGGGATCCACAATTCCCATAACAGCCATTGCAAAAATGGAGCCTCAGTAAAGGTATTTATGGTTTGGTACATTATAACATTTTTATTTTTCAGAGCTCTTTAGAAACCCTCAACAAAGCTATTGCTGGTTTTGTGGTGATGTCGGAAGAGATGGAGAAAGTATACAACAGTTTTCTTAACAACCAAGTTCCCACACTCTGGGCCAATGCAGCATACCCTTCTCTGAAGCCATTAGGAGGATGGGTAAAAGACCTTGTACTAAGGACAACCTTTGTAGATGTAAGTAAATTGCCTTATGATGAGGTGGTGTGCTAGGTCCTTGCTCAAGGACTGAATTTGGTCATTCCAGAAGCTTGAAAGAGAAGCTTGGCCCAAAACCACCGTACCCAAACTTCCCACCTAATCCTCTCCCCAGAATTTTAAAATCAAACCTGTACAACATATAGCGCTCTCGGAAATCCTGGATAAAGGGGCAAGAGGTAACCCAGATCCAAATAGTGGCCTTATCCATTTCTGGAGACATGGTTTCAATCTGCCTTCAGTCACAAATGCCATTGTGCTTCATAGGAAAGGCATAATGCCATCAGGGCACTGGGCGGGGCGCACTGGGGAGCTGCTCTTGCTACTCTCTTAAAAAGGAGCTACTTGCACTCCCCACAACTCAGCTATCTCAGCATTTTCCTGTGTGCCAGGGTGGGTGAGATCATGCCCCATCTGGGACTGGTAGCCATGCCAGTCATGGTAGGTTTTCCTTTCTCCTTCCCCTTCAGTAAGACATGTACTGATATTTATTAACCGTTTCCCGATCTCCACCATAAGTTTGTTGCTGTTACTAGTACCGGCATGGACTCACTGGTACTGCAGGCACTGTCATTGCCTTTAGGCTCCCTCACAGCCCTTAGCTTTCCCTTCCCACAACTCCTTCCACCTTCAAAGTCCCATTTTCGAAGTCTCTTCAGAGGTGAGCAGTGGGCCGTGGGAGGATTACATGATGGATCTTCAAAAGGTTTGGCTAGGAATTGGACAAGCGGTTGAGATTGTGGTTGCTTCGCAGACCTAACCTCTGGAGTTTTTCCTTTTGAGATGTGCTCCTCCCTGCCCTTAATGTAGAAATATCACTTTTTCCACTTCAGTTTTCACCATGCTCCTTGTAGCGTGCCTGTCAAGGCTGTATCCCCACTTTGAACCTTAGGGTACAAATGTAGGGGCCTGCATGAAAACTTCTAAGCTTATCTACCAGCTTAGCTTTGGTCCGCTGCCACCATTACAAGAATTCCCTCCCTGGGAAGCCTTGAGAAACCTTTCACCAATTTCCTGGTGAACACAGATCCAAACCCCCTTGGATCTTAAAACAAGGAGAAATTAACCATCCCCCCTCCTTCCTCCCACCCTCCTTTCACCAACTCCTGGTGAATACAGATCCAAACCCCCTTGGATCTTAAAACAAGGAGAAATCAATCTGGTTCTTAAAAAAGAAGGCTTTTAATTAAAGAAAAAGGTAAAAATCATCTTTGTAAAATCAGTATGGAAAATAGCTTTACAGGGTAATCAAACTTAAAGAGCTCAGAGGACCCCCCTCTGTCTTAGGTTTAAAGTACAGCAAAACAAAGATAAACACTCTGGTAAAAGGTACATTTACAAGTTGAGAAAACAAAGTAAATCTAAGACGCCTTGCCTGTCTTTTTACTTACAAGTTTGAAATAGGAGAGACTTGTTTAGAAAGATGGGGAGAACCTGGATTGATGTCTGGTCCCTCTCAGTCCCAAGAGCAAACCACCCCTTAAAACAAAGAGCACACACAAAAGCCTTTCCCCCCCCAAGATTTGAAAGTATCTTGCCCCCTTATTGGTCCTTCGGGTCAGGTGTCAGCCAGGTTACCCGAGCCTCTTAACCCTTTACAGGTAAAAGGATTTGGAGTCTCTGTACACAGAGAGCTGTCACCCTTCCCTTTATAGTTATGACACGCCCCCCAAATCACAGATAGTGTTGGACGTTCGGTTCCACACTGGCTGTGATTTCTTCCTGGAGTTCTAGGAGAAAACAGAGTTAATAAGACACATGTATTTTTAGACATACTACTGATTATATAAAAACTAACAATATGTTTTATTCCAAGAACAATTGTTAACCAGTTAACTTTGGGAAACTTTTCCGGGAGAGTGCATCAGCCACTTTGTTAGAAGCTCCCGAAATGTGTTGTATTTTAAAATCAAAATCTTGGAGAGCTAAACTCCACCGAAGAAGTTTTTTGTTATTTTCCTTGGCGGTATGAAGCCACTGTAGCGCAGCATGGTCTGTTTGTAGTTGGAAACGCCGTCCCCAAACATATGGGCGTAGCTTTTCCAGCGCGTACACAATGGCGTAGCATTCCTTTTTGCTGATTGACCAGTGGCTTTTCCTCTCAGACAGTTTTTTGCTGAGAAACACGACAGGATGGAATTCTTGATCCGGTCCTTCCTGCATTAAAACTGCTCCCACGCCTCGCTCGGACGCATCTGTGGTTACTAGGAACGGTTTGTCAAAGTCTGGGGCCCTTAGCACAGGGTCAGACATGAGTGTTGCCTTAAGCTGGTTAAAGGCCTTTTGACACTTATCAGTCCACTGAACTGCATTTGGCTGTTTCTTTCTGGTTAGGTCTGTTAGCGGGGCGGCGATTTGGCTGTAGTGTGGTACAAATCGCCTATAATATCCGGCCAAGCCTAAGAAGGATTGGACCTGTTTCTTTGACTTTGGAACCGGCCACTTTTGGATAGCATCCACTTTGGCCTGTAGGGGATTTATAGTTCCTTGACCCACCTGGTGCCCCAGGTACGTCACTCTGTTTTGGCCTATTTGACACTTTTTAGCCTTAACAGTTAGTCCTGCCTGTCGGATGCGCTCGAAGACTTTTCCCAGGTGCTCCAGGTGTTCTGTCCATGAATCAGAAAAAATGGCCACATCATCGAGGTAGGCAACTGCAGATTCTCCCAATCCCGCTAAGAGACCATCTACAAGTCTTTGGAAGGTGGCGGGTGCATTTCGCAACCCGAAAGGGAGTACATTGAATTCATACACCCCTGCCTGGGTGACGAAGGCGGACCTTTCCTTAGCGGGTTCATCTAGTGGTACTTGCCAGTACCCCTTGGTTAAGTCTAAAGTAGAGATGAATTGGGCATGTCCCAATTTCTCCAATAGCTCATCTGTGCGTGGCATTGGATAGTTGTCAGGACGAGTTACAGCATTTAGCTTACGGTAGTCCACGCAAAAGCGGATTTCCCCATCTGGTTTGGGAACTAGAACCACTGGAGATGCCCATGCACTGGTAGAGGGGCGGATTATACCCATCTGTAGCATGTCCTGGATCTCCCTTTGTATAGCAGTTTGGGCATGAGGTGACTCCCGGTAGGGTGGGGTTCTAATTGGGTGAGCATTACCTGTGTCAATGGAGTGGTATGCCCGTTCGGTCCGTCCTGGAGTGGCTGAGAAAATCGGTGCAAAGCTTGTGCACAGCTCCTTGATCTGCTGTCGCTGCAGACGTCCCAGGGTCGTGGAGAGGTTCACCTCTTCCACGCCACCATTCCTTGTTCCTTCGTAGTAGACACCTGCAGGCCACTCCGCGTCATCTGTTTCCTGGGCTGTAAACTGGCAAACGTTTAATCCTCTGGAATAAAAGGGCTTAAGAGAATTAACATGGTATACCTTAGGCTTTATGTTGGAGGTGGGGGAGGCTATGAGATAGTTAACAGCTCCTAGGCGCTCCTGGACCGTGAATGGTCCTTCCCACGACGCTTCCATTTTATGGGCCTGGAGCGCCTTTAAGACCATGACTTGGTCTCCTACTTTGAAGGACCGTTCTCTGGAATGTTTATCATACCAGGCCTTTTGCTCTTCCTGAGCATCCTTTAGGTTTTCTTTAGCAAGGGCTAAAGAGTGTCGGAGGGTGTTTTGTAGGTTGCTTACAAAGTCTAGAATGTTAGTTCCTGGAGAAGGCGTAAACCCCTCCCATTGCTGCTTCACCAACTGTAATGGCCCCTTAACCTCGCGGCCATACACAAGTTCAAATGGTGAAAACCCTAAACTGGGATGTGGTACAGCCCTGTAGGCAAAAAGCAACTGCTGCAACACTAGGTCCCAATCATTGGAGTGTTCATTTATGAATTTACGTATCATGGCCCCCAAAGTTCCATTAAACCTCTCCACCAGACCATTGGTTTGATGGTGATGAGGGGTGGCAACCAAGTGATTCACCCCATGAGCTTCCCACAGGTTTTTCATGTTCCCTGCCAGGAAATTAGTTCCCGAATCTGTAAGGATGTCGGAGGGCCAACCTACCCTGGCAAAAATGTCTGCTAATGCCTGGCACACACTTTTAGCCTTGGTGTTGCTTAAGGGTACAGCTTCCGGCCATCGGGTAGCAAAATCCATGAAAGTCAGTACGTACTGCTTTCCTCTGGGTGTCTTCTTTGGGAAAGGACCCAGAATATCCACAGCTACTCGCTGAAATGGGACCTCAATTATGGGTAGTGGCTGGAGAGGGGCTTTAACCTGGTCTTGGGGCTTTCCCACTCGTTGGCACACCTCACAAGACCGGACATAATTAGCAACGTCCTTGCCCATTCCCTCCCAGTGGAAGGACTTCCCCAACCGGTCTTTGGTTCTGTTCACCCCAGAATGGCCACTGGGATGATCATGGGCTAAGCTCAAGAGCTTTACCCGATACTTAGTGGGAACTACCAACTGTCTTTGAGGATGCCAGTCTTCCTGGTGCCCACCAGAAAGAGTCTCCTTGTATAAAAGTCCTTTTTCTACAACAAACCGGGATCGGTTAGAAGAGCTGAGAGGCGGTGGGGGGCTCCGCGCCGCCGCCCAAGCTTTCTGAAGGCTGTCATCTGCTTCCTGCTCGGCCTGGAACTGTTCCCTTGATGCTGGAGACATCAGTTCCTCCTTGGACTGTGGACTGGGGCTTGGTCCCTCTGGAAGCGATGCAGGTGCTGGGGCTGTTTCCATTGACTGTGAACCGCTGTCCGCTGGTGCACTAGGTGGTATTTCAGGCTCTGGCTGAGCCTCTTGGGTAGGGTTATCTGCTGCTTCCGCCAGTTCAGGCTCGCTGGTGCCCTCTGGCATTGGAGTTGTAGACGGGTTTGCAAGCGCTGGACTCAGTGCTGGCAATGGTTCTGGTGCTGGTTGCGTTGCCAGTTCCGGTTCTGGGACTGGCTTTGACTGGGTCTCTGGGATTGGATCCACTACGGCTGTTGCAGTCGTTGGCAGGGGATCCGGTTCCACCACCTGTGTTTGGGTCTCCGGTAACACGACGGGGCTCTGGTGGACGGCTCAGGAACAGGGATGGGGGTGAAAGCTTGCTTAGCCTGGCTGCGGGTGACTATTCCCACCCTCTTGGCTAGCTTCACATGGTTGGCCAAGTCTTCCCCCAGCAGCATGGGGATGGGATAATTGTCATAGACTGCAAAAGTCCACATTCCTGCCCAGCCCTTGTACTGGACATGCAACTGGGCTGTAGGCAAGGTTACAGACTGTGACACGAAGGGTTGAATTGTCACTGTAGCCTCCGGGTTGATGAGTTTGGGGTCCACTAGGGATTGGTGGATAGTTGACACTTGTGCCCCAGTGTCCCTCCAAGCGATAACCTTCTTTCCGCCCACTCTCAAGGTTTCCCTTCGCTCCGAGGGTATGAGAGAGGCATCTGGGTCTGGGGATCTTTGGTGTGACTGGGGTGTAATGAACTGTAATCGGTTGGGGTTCTTGGGGCAGTGAGCCTTTATATGCCCCAGTTCATTACATTTAAAACATCGCCCTGCTAAGGTATCACCGGGGCGATGTTGGTTGGTGGAGACTGGTGGGGTGGGGTGAGAAGGCGTCTGGGGTTTCCCTTGGGAGGTGGGTGGGGCCTTGGGTTGTCCCCGGTGATAAGGTTTTGTTTCGGCTTGTCCCTTCTGATATTCGCTCCAACTGCTACTAGCTTTTTTCTTTTCTGTTACCTCCACCCATTTGGCTCCAATCTTCCCCGCCTCGGTTACAGTTTTGGGCTTCCTATCTAGGATGTACCTTTCTATTTCCTCAGGAACACCCTCTAAAAACTGCTCCATTTTTACTAGGGAAAGCAGATCTTCCAGAGATTTAACATTTGCTCCTGATACCCAGGCATCACAATTTTTGTCAATGTGGTAGGCATGCCGGGTAAATGACACATCTGGTTTCCACCTTAGGGCTCTGAACCGCCGACGGGCATGCTCGGGTGTTAGCCCCATTCTGAGTCTGGCCTTGTTTTTAAAAAGTTCATAACTGTTCATGTGTTCCTTAGGCATTTCAGCCGCCACCTCTGCTAAGGGTCCACTGAGCTGCGGTCTCAGCTCTACCATGTACTGGGTTAGAGGGATGTTGTATCCAAGGCAGGCCCTTTCAAAATTTTCTAAGAAGGCCTCAGTATCATCGCCTGCCTTGTAGGTGGGGAATTTCCTGGGATGGGAAGTGGTACCTGGAGAGGAGTTGTTAGGATGGTCTGCTGCATCCTGCCTAGTCCTTGCTGCTTCCAGTTCCATCTCTTTTTCTTTCAGCTCCATCTCTCTTTTATGGGCCTCCTGTTTGGCTTTTTCTTCTCTTTCATGGGCCTCCTGTTTGGCTTTTTCTTCTCTTTTATGGGCCTCCTCTTCAGCTTCTTTCTCGAGTTTTTTAATTTCAAGCAGTCTTTGATGTTTTCTTTCATTTTCTTCTGCTTCTAGTCTGGCCAGTTCTATTTTGTTAGCTACTTCTTTGGTAGTCATTTTCCTGTTTTCTTGTGCTGGGTCACACCCTCTGCAATTGACTGAAACTGGGATGTACTTAGCTCTGGCTGCTGCTGAGTTAACAGAGACTTTCTAACAAGCTACTCCCGAGGATGTAAAAAGAAAAAAAAAACAATTCAGCCTGTAAATTACCTTTACCAGTTCAAAGTTTGCTCACTGATTGAACCCTTCTCTTAACAAAGCCCCTTATTAAAAAAACTTAACACCTCTGCCTTCAGGCAAGGAGAGATAAGATATGCATCTGCCTTCAGCTCTGCTTTCCAAGCAGCTAGAAGGAAAAAAAAATCTCTTACTGGCTTTTGGGTTAAAACGATCTCCACCGCTGTGCCACCATGTCAAGGCTGTATCCGCACTTTGAACCTTAGGGTACAAATGTAGGGGCCTGCATGAAAACTTCTAAGCTTATCTACCAGCTTAGCTTTGGTCCGCTGCCACCATTACAAGAATTCCCTCCCTGGGAAGCCTTGAGAAACCTTTCACCAATTTCCTGGTGAACACAGATCCAAACCCCCTTGGATCTTAAAACAAGGAGAAATTAACCATCCCCCCTCCTTCCTCCCACCCTCCTTTCACCAACTCCTGGTGAATACAGATCCAAACCCCCTTGGATCTTAAAACAAGGAGAAATCAATCTGGTTCTTAAAAAAGAAGGCTTTTAATTAAAGAAAAAGGTAAAAATCATCTTTGTAAAATCAGTATGGAAAATAGCTTTACAGGGTAATCAAACTTAAAGAGCTCAGAGGACCCCCCTCTGTCTTAGGTTTAAAGTACAGCAAAACAAAGATAAACACTCTGGTAAAAGGTACATTTACAAGTTGAGAAAACAAAGTAAATCTAAGACGCCTTGCCTGTCTTTTTACTTACAAGTTTGAAATAGGAGAGACTTGTTTAGAAAGATGGGGAGAACCTGGATTGATGTCTGGTCCCTCTCAGTCCCAAGAGCAAACCACCCCTTAAAACAAAGAGCACACACAAAAGCCTTTCCCCCCCCAAGATTTGAAAGTATCTTGCCCCCTTATTGGTCCTTCGGGTCAGGTGTCAGCCAGGTTACCCGAGCCTCTTAACCCTTTACAGGTAAAAGGATTTGGAGTCTCTGTACACAGAGAGCTGTTACCCTTCCCTTTATAGTTATGACAGTGCCCATGCCAAGTAGGATGTAACATGCCTATTGGCCGTGTTCTGTATGGCAGCCTGGCATTCTGTAATTACCACTTTGGGAGCTTTGAGATCTGGATCCAAATTTTGTGGCTTAGGCTTATCTCTGATTCGACTGCAAAGTCAAGGGGTGTTAGGATCAGGGGACTTGGGGCAACCTGTTATGGAGATACATTGGTCACTGTTAAAACCTTGCCATTTTACCCTAGATAAGCAGATGTGGTTAACTCAGTGTTTGCAGTGTTCCCTATATTTCTCTGTGTTTGCCACAGGGAATATCTAAGAAACAGTACAAATACTATGATACATTATTTATTTCTTAAGGCAGTTTGACAAGATTTTAATGATAACCACTGTAGGAGCCAGCTGTAGCATGCATAGTTTATAAGTGTAAAGTAAAATGGACATGTCTGTTACATAAGATCTTTTTTCCTGTACCATAATGAAGTATAAAATTAACCGTACATGGTTTGAATCTTGTGGAGTGGGGTTCTGATCTTGGGACCAAACTCAACTCTGCTGTATGTGGGTGCAGTTGAAGTCAATGAGGTTGTGCCAACTTACAGCAAGTTGAATTTGGCCCTTAATGTAATGAGAATGTGCAGTAAAATAGGAAATGTGAAGCTTCATAAATAACATCCACTAAAATGTTCTGGTTTTAGTCCTGGCTCAGAAGGGGTCAACCGAAGTCGTTCTGGATCTCTGGTTTCTTTTTTCCACAAGGATTCCTGACAGGTAAAAAAAAAGTCAATAAAAGTAATGTACATGCGTAAAAGCTTGTCTTTCCTGTTGCCTGCTCTACAAAACAAAATGTGCCAGGACACAAAGTTGCCAAGTCCGGGGTGCTCCAAAGCCCTGCATATGTTTTCCAGGACTTTCGGGGCTTTCTTCTTTGCACATAGCTGAAAATGGCGTGGGTTTTGAGCAAACAATAGCTCTTTTGGGCTGCCATCTGCTGAGCTCTAATCAGGATTGCCAGTCCTTGTGGTACACCCTCCCTAGTGAGACATGCAGAGTGTCCTGTGCCCCACCCCACCAAAGAAGAAGAGAAATAGAGAGAATTTCCTACAGCCCAATGACTCTCACTAAAAGCAAGTGGAGCCTTTGTATGAGAAATAGAAGCAGAAGAGTGTGCAGCCCTTTCTGGCTCTGTCCTTTCGCTTTTACACCTATACAGAGAAGCTGGGGGGGATGGTCTTTCCAAGCCTTAGCCCTGCAAGAACAGTACGTATAGGAGGAAAGCCTTTGCTAATTCTCCCCTCACTGAAGCAGAAACCAAAGATTGGAGACAGCATCACTCAACCTGATTCTTTTCCTCCCCTGAAAGAGAGAGGTCTCATAGCCCTGTCTGCAGCCGAATCCCAGAAAGCTGAAAGACTAGTATAGTATTTCACTGGAATACAAGTAAAGAAAGAAAGTACATGTAAATGAACACAGTTTGATTTGTTTTAGACAGACTGTTTTCAAGTAGGCAAAGAAAGCATCCAGATCGTTGTTACACACTATAAATAGTTATTACTGAGAGCTCTGCTTCCTTGATTGCAGAGTAGAGTTAATAATTGCAATACTTAGATTATAAAACTCCCACTCGTCTGTCACTAAGATATAGGGCTCCATGTGTCTGTGCGCAAGTTTGTATGTTTCCAACATTTTTTCATGCACTAGTCATAGCTAAAGGAGTGTTCTGTTAGCTTGCAGTTTTCCAGTTCGGGTGCAGAGAAAGGCCGAGTGAAAATTGGAATTTCCATCCCATGGGAAATTCAGATGTTTCAACATTTGTTTTCATCACAAACCAGGATGAAAAGTTAAAATATCATTGTCACAGAACGAGATGTTCCAAAAAATTTCTATGCAGCTATGGCAAAACATTCCAGTACTCCCAAAGCTACAACCTCATGAGGTGATGTGGCATGATAGGGAAATACAGTTTAATCTTGAACTGACTCAAAATGTTTCAGGTCAATTCAACAAACCAAAAATATTTAGATTCAGGCTGAATTGACCCAAAATGACATCATTTGTTTAGATTTTCCAAATGGAAATTTGAAAAGTTTCAGCAAAATGAAAATATTCCTATAGAAAATTTCAGTTTTGCAGAAACTGCATTTTCCACCAAATAGTGATTTGGATGGAAAATTCCCAACCGTCTCTAATGGATAGCAAGATGGTAGCTTTTAGCATTTTTATTCTCAGTGATAAACATGCAGGCAGCTCTGTTGCATGGGTGAAATGTCTTGTTCCCATTTACAGTTGGTCAATTGAGCTTTCTTGACTGCACACTCCAACTGACCCCTCTGCCAATTTTATTTAAAAAATACTTTTTTTCAATCTGCCAGGCACTCTTCAAAATCATGCTCGGAAATATAACTTACCAATAGATGAGCTTAGTTTCAGCTATAATGTCATCCCTGTTTATCGAGATCAAGCACAAGTTACAGAAGCATTAAAAGTGTGCCAATTTGGACAAGAATTACCTATGGATATGCAGGTATTTTGGAGTTTATTATCAATACTGAAGTAAAAATAAAAATCCTTCATATCCTCTCTTTTGAGCAAAAATTGACATTGACTCTGCATAAACTGAGATTAATACTACTGTTCAATAACACACAAAACTTTGAACGTCAGAACTTTATGTTGTGTTTTCCTTAGAGTGGGTTGAAAAATGTTGAAAATTTGTGTAAAAAAAATTTCATCCAAAATTTGAAAATTAGATAATTTTCAGGCAGCTGTAGTGGTAGAGTTTTCTAGTACATGTCCTGTCCTCTTCCCCCAGGAAGCTAGAACTTCTTATGGTGATGTGAACGTGTCATTCAACTTTGATCATTCAGTTAATTTTTGTTTGTTCATAAATTTGGGAGATTTTGCTTTCTTGTCACCGGCTGTTTATTTCAGTTACCCTCTCCAGAAGATGGTGTATTGGTACATGGTATGTTCATGGATGCCAGTCGTTGGGATGATGAAGAGATGGTTATAGAAGATGCCTTACCTAGGCAAATGAATCCAATGTTGCCAGTGGTGCATTTTGAGCCCCATCGAAATTATGAACCAAATCCATCTTTGTATCAATCACCACTTTATAAAACTGGAGCCAGAGCTGGGACACTCTCCACCACAGGTAACTGTTTCTTTAAAATCATAGTTCTTATCCAAATCAGAAGTGTATAATGTGGAGATTCTGAATGGGGAGTACTCAGACATTAGCTTTGTCTGAACTTTTAAATGAAAGTCATGCCCATAAGTCATTTAAAAAGGAATTTTCCCAAGTTTGCAATAAGAGCTCAAATTTGGCCTGTGGCCTCTTTGTCAAAACAATTCCACCTTTCCGTATGTTATTTACTTGCTGTGTAATAATCTAAGAAGACTGAGAAGGAAGAGAGACACGGGTCCTGCGGGAATGGCTGAGAGCTATTGAGGCTTTCCTGGTTCCGAGGGAATGCTCTCAGGTTAAGCCTTAGAGAAAGACAAGCAAGCATGTGGTCTGTTTATTGTTTTCATCTCTGTTTTCTCTGAAATGCTTTTGTTCTAAATAAATAATACTTAGCTTTTTGATAAAGCCATTGCAATCTGGAGTTATTAATGCAATAGTATAACTCCGTGCAAAAAAATAACTTTCTCCAAATACAAGTAGATTTTATTAGCTCCACACTGCTAGGTTTCAGCTTCAGATGCGAGATTCAGAAGCTGACTAGTCAGCTAAAAGAATTTAGTAATATCAGGAGTTACAGAGGTCACGTGAAATAAGTGTGCCTTCTGGAAACCACAACCACTGACGTGCACGTGCAACTCTTTCACAGTTTCCCCTTAGAACATTGCCTGATTTTCCTTCTTATTGTTTGTGTCTTCCGTGTACAGTCTGATTTTATTACAATGGTCACTCTTAAAAAACTGTGAGTTTCCTAAATAAAATTGCCTTCGTATTTTCAAAAAAATCCCTAGGTATTCGCAATAGCAAATATAGTGATTTCTGTAAATATGCCCAAATAAATTTGTTAGTCTCTAAGGTGCCACAAGTACTCCTCATAACCATATCTGTTTGTGAAAGGCAAAACTCACATTTTGAATGGAGACTACTGAAGTCCTGATAAAATTAATGGAGTAAATTCCTCCAAATGTATGTAGATATTGCAATTAAGATAACAAAAATAATACTTAAAAACCACAGCAATCCATGGGGCCATGTTGAGGTTGCTGTGTTTTGATGAAATCGACATTTCTTTATATTTGAGAAAACAAATGGGACAGATTCTGATATGCTTACATTGAATAGCACCTTACCTGAAATCAGTGGGACCACTTGTGGAGTAGGTGCTACTCAGCGTGAGTAAGGATATCAGAATCTGCTCAGTGTACTTGCTTATTACATGGATAGAGTAAGATTTCTGATGCCCTTGACTATTCATTTATTTGTTTTTAAGTGCTTAGGTTTTGTAAATGATCTTATAGGTAAGTACCCTGTTGGCATTTAGCAATTTTGAAAGTAATCAGTTTGCTTGTGAAATTATATAATACTTTGCCTGATAGTATGTGACACTGCCCACTGATATCTGATGAGAGATGTATTGTAATGCAGTAGGCATGGGATGTTGTAGCAACCTTGGTTCTGAATGTGCTGGTTGTGGGGGTTAAATTCTCCGCCATAATGTGGCGTTGACATACTGATTTGCATTGCTTAGGTAAATGGTAACAGTTTTTCTCTTTGCTTTTTTAACTAGGTCATTCTACCAATTTTGTGGTAACAGTCTTATTACCCTCCAAAAGACCAAGTGACTACTGGATATCGAAAGGATCGGCCTTGCTCTGCCAGCTGAATGAGTAAGCAGGGTGCCGTTACAATCCAGCAGGAGTATGTGTAAATCACATTCACGATGTAGACCAGCAGAATGGTTTTACCATTATCACAATCCTAGACTCCTGACAGTATAATAATACTGACTACTAATCTATAATTTAGTTTTTCATTTGTATTAGATTTTATAAAATAAAATGTTGCCTGATATTCATTTTCCATTGTTATTTTTAGGCTAGTTCTTATCCTCTTACTGCTTCTAAGATTTATGCACCACTGCTCCAGTTAAAAATACTCTTCCACAGTAGCTGCATGTTTCATGTAAAGAAACATGCTTTGCATTGGGATGCTAAGTTACTATGACTGCTGTGCTTTACTTTCAGCTTTTAGGCCTTGTTTTCTGTCTCTGGAGATTGCTTATGATGACAAAAGGCTTTAAGCAAAAATATTAAGAGTCCTTGAGTGACTGATTCTAAAGGTCATTCACTGTCCTGCCTGCTATATTTTAGCCATAAAAGCTGCAGAAAGAAATGGGTATCTAACCATTTTAGAAATACTCCGTCTCCATCACTGAAGCAACTGGGTACCTCACAAGGATTAAGAGTCCATTACAATTATAACTATACGCCTTTCAACTTGGTCTCAGTAGCAGGGCCCACTGGTCACTAACACCAAGCCCCGGTCCACGTTATTTCTGCAAATTAGCCAAAGGCTTATACAAGACAAACCGCTCTAGCACTGTGTCCTGCAGCTCACCACGCTCAAGCGCCAAAGGAGCAGTAGCGAAAGGCACTGAGAACTTCATGGTGCTGGCTTGGGAACGTTCAGAAAATTCAGCTCTGGAGCATACGATGGAACAGTAGGATCTCTCAGAAAACTGACTCAGAGATTACTTAGAGCTTTATACGGTATAGGTCATGGTCAACACCTTGAACTACACCTAAAAGTGCAACTAGTCCAGTCATGGAGCACTGCTGTTATAGCAGATAGAAGATCTTCTTACACAAGTCAAACCACTGTCATCAGCACTAGTGGCAACTTCTGGATGCTTCTCCAGCACAGTCCCATGTAGAGCATATTGCTGTAATGATCTAGCTTTCAGGGTATAAAGGTGTGGAACAGTGTGTATCCTAGGGGAGAGGTAACCTTCCTAGCCAATCATAGATGTTAAAAGGCACTACATACTATAGTCACATGCAAATCCAGGGGAGCAAAGGATCCCTATGACCAAAAAACTATTGGCGAGGTTGGACATATACCTGCAGCGAAAGGTGGACTAATAACTCCAAGCTGTTCTTTTAGATATTTCAGCTTTATGTCCATCTATCTAGGAGGAACTTAAGCCAGTTTAGTCCCATCCGCTTGCCTGCCTCTTTCAATACTAGGAGATCAGACACCATAATATACGGGATAACAGTGATACAATATAGATCTGATTGTCATCCTCACATTTATGGTACTGCAAGGGAAAACTTCTTGTTGCCCTAGCAGCGCTATATAGACACACAAGAGGAGAGGTGACAACTTTGTCAGACCTCACATATAAAGGCCTGCACAGAGGACGAGTGAATGCTCTCACCACCATTTGGGACCTCTCAAAGAATGGGAGAACCCACAAAAGACCTTCCTGTCAATTCCTGCAAGATTTAAAAGGTACTCAACAAAGGTTCGTGGTCAAATCAGCATGGACTCTTTACCCATGTCCATTCTCAAAAGCAAACCATAAGCAATAGCTAGTGTGACATTACACTCCATATTCTTTATGAAAATGTGCTTATGATATGGATATGACATGACTGAGATGTACTTTATGCCAGATGGCTCATGTAAGATACCATTGGAAAGGTTATGATTTACTGAATGTGATTATCCAATTTGTCTGCATGTATCATTTCTATATCTGAAGTTAGGAATATTGACTATGTAGCTGTATTTCAAATGGGTTACTTTGGGTGTCACCCCCAACTAGCCCTTCAGGTACAACAATGGAAAAGCCAGACAGGGCTAATGGGCCATTAGCAGAGACAATGGTCTGTAAAAGAGCTTAATCTTCCTGTGGACACTCGAGACAGCTTACAAGCAATGGCTGCCACAGCCATGCAGAGACATGGGTCCGAGTCACCTGGTACTGGATACCCCTCTTCCCCTTTTGGAATGCCAGACAAAGGGTTCCCGCCTTACACAAGAGCTATATAAGGCAGGGGAGTGACATCATCGTGGTTCTCCTCTGCCTCCCCACCCAAAGAGACACTGAAAAACACCTGGAAGCAAGAACTGAACTGGGGGGAGAAGGGTTGAGCCCAAGCTGGAAGGGCGTCTAGCTTGTGAGTAACAATACCTGAGGTCTCAAGCCGCAGACCAGTGCAGCTGCCTTTCAAGACTTTCTGTAATCTGCCTGCAACAATATCTAGGGTGAGAAATTACTATTTCTAACCAATTTCTTTAGTGAAACTAGCTTAGTGTGCGTATTTTGTTTTATTTGCTTAGTAATCTGCTTTGTTCTGTTTGCTATCTCGTTAACCACTTAAAATTCACCTTTGTAGTTAATAAACTTATTTCTTGTTTATAATATAACCCTGTTTGTACAATTCATAATTGGGGGTGGGGAAGAGGCTGTACATACCTTCCTCCACATTGAGGGAGGAGGCGGATTTCATAATATACCTTTGGGTCTGCGTTCCAAGGGAGGTGGGCACCTGAGTGCTGGGGCAAGTCCCTTAAGATGAGTCTTCCCGGAGCTGATCTCAGTGTCCGTGTCGTTCTGCAGTTGGGTGTGGCCCTGCCTGTGTGTGTGCCAGAGGAGGCTTTAATAGCCTGGCTCAGCAGGACAGGTAAAAAGGATGTCCAGGCTGGTAGAACAGGCAGGCTCAGTGGTATCCCAGAACATCAGGTGGCATCTTAAAGGGGGGCAACCCGTGACAGATAGTAATACCTTTCTCTACTAAAACCACGCCCAAAAGCAGCCTGCTAGAGATCAAGGACGCTGAAATATCCAGAAACCACAGGAACTGCTTCAGCTTTACTTTACCAATTATCTTCTCCAAAAACAACTGGTTATATACTGAAGGGGAATAAGTAAAGCTTTAAGGACAAAAGATAGTTTCTTTGGCAAGCAGCCTCACCACTACCTGTTTGAATGGAATTATTGAAGTTCTTCTTCAGTAATGGGCCCAAGATCTCCCTATTGCTGTCCAGCAGCAATGATGGGAAAGGTCTGGCTCACCATTGTGGGAAACAACTCTTGTCAACTCCCCTAAGACCTCTTTGGAGAAAAACAGGATAGAAATCAGCCAGAGAAGGCAATGTGTTATCATTGATCAAATACCCAAGAATGTGCTAGGTTCCTCGCAGACGTACAAAGAGTTTGTAACACCAGAGGGTATAAATTTTACTCATGGTGTGAAGACCACATCTTCTGGTAAACACTTTGGGGATAGGGGCCCCCTGTCAGCCCAGATGGCTAGTTGTAATCTGCTGGCAGATTAAAATCACACCAGAAGAGATGGGCAATTATTCTGATGAGGGGTTCATTTTACAGTGGGCAGAAGACGCCTATGATAAGGAGGCCTTTTTACCATCATCTTCCAACTGAGTGACATAAGAGTTATTGTTTATTAATATTTAAGCATTACAGTAGTTAACAGCAGCAACATGGTTACAAGTAAAGACAAAAGTCTTCCATGTTAAACTTTAGCTAAACAAAAATAAATTGTCTTTAATCAACATAATTCCTTTAACAAGACTGCATTGGCCAAGTTTGAACGTGGACCACACCAACAGAGCCCAGCAAAGAAGACTAGACCGTGACATCTAACGTCGAAAGCCTGTCCCCACTGAAGTCACTGGCAAAACTCCCATTAACCTTGATGGGGCCAGGAATCCTCCCTAAAAATTTAGGATTAGCAGGTATTAGATTGGCAGTTGTGATTCAAGTTGTATTCAAATTAAGCACACGGACGACGGTAGCAACACAACAGTGTCACTGAGCATCTGTACAGTTCTCTGAATGCCGACTGAGATTTCTGTTCCCTCTCAACAACCAACATTTCCTCCATTTAAAAAAAATATTTCTGTAAAGTTTTAGCAAAAATACATTCTGTCAACATCTTGACTGGAAAAATGTTTCAGATAATCACAGCAATAGTACAAGCGAACACCAGTAGTTTGTTTAGCTAAATGCAGTATAAACAGTGCAGAGTGGTACATTGTCAAACATGAGAAATGCATGTCACAGCCATACTAATCGAAGATACTGAAACATAAAGATATTGAAAATGACAATATACTAAAGAACATGTTAGAATGACTTATCAATATAGCTTTTACTTATTAAACAATAGCTAAATGTTCACTAGTGCTTTCTTAGTAGTATACATACACTAGTGCTTACTTGTAACAAAGATTTGAATTCTTGCCTACCACTTGTCACAGATCATAACATCATTACAGGCAGACACAATCTAAGAAATAAATTACAGGGTCCAGTATTTATATTATTCAGTCATTACAATCACTAACATTGGAGATAATCAGCTCTCAAAACTAATTTCAGCTCCTTCATTCTATGTAAGATTTAAATTACGTTATTTAGCAAAGTTAATGGCGACGTTTTTTATTTTGAAATGACATGTTTTGGACTGCATGCGCCTCTTTGAGAGCCTTATGCAAAATCCTTTGAAACAGCTTCTATAAAATTTGGAGCAGACATCAGTATTGTAAACGTACAGATGATTGCAAAGAGTGAAAATGCAACCAGACATAATCTGTCTATGACAGCTGCTGCAAACTTCCACTCACTACAAACTTCTTCACCCTCATCTTGTTTTCTGAAGCGCATTGCAATGAACTGAACTTCTTCCAGGATTTTGACAATCACTGGGATAGTATCCATTAAAGCTTTCTTTTGAACTAGCTCGATATCTTCTGTAGAGGAGCAAGCGACCTTCCCACCCTTACTACCTGAGTCACTGTTTTGTGGGCAGCATGGGTTTTCCATGGCATGGTAGCTATAGATCACGTTCCCGTTGCTA